ACATTTCCAGCCGCCTGTAAGGGGACTGGGTAATGCTTTAAACGTTTTGGAGAGAACGGTCCGGCTCTTGCGAGACACGCGCTCTCCCTTTTCCTCCCTGTAGCTAGGAGGACTTACGAGGCTCTGGGTTCAGCACAATCTTGGGCCGAGGTCCCCGTCGGTCGGGCGGTTGCTTCCTGTTGGCAGAGCGCGAGCGGCGTCGAAAATCCGTTTCAGGTTTGGGCTGAGAGACGGGGGGCGCCGTCTTAGCTCGCTGCTGCTGAGGCGGCCGTTGGCGGCTCTGCGATGAGCTAGATCGCTTGGGCAGGAAGTGACGCATAGCCTGTGAGTCCTTACGGGCTTCGGTGAAGCGCTCGGCAAACTCCTTCACCGCTGGTCCAAACAGGCCGCTTTGGGAGATAGGCGCGTCGAGAAATGACGCCTTATCTGCATCCTTCATCTCTGTTAGCGTCAGCCACAGATGGCGCTCAAGGACAGTCAGGTTAGCCATAGCACGGCCGATGGATTGGGCGGTGGCTTTTGTAGCTCGCAGCGCTATGTCAGTGGCGCTGCGTAGGTCCTTAAATGCCTCAGGATCGGGTCCAGACTCGTCCATACTGCGGAGAAGTTTGGCTTGAAACACCTGGAGGACAGCCATAGAGTGAAGCGCTGATGCAGCTTGGCCGGCGGCGGCGTATGCGCGACCGGCGAGAGCTGAAGTGGACCGGCAAGGCTTCGAGGGATGAGAAGCTTTAGCTTTCCATCCAGCGTTGGAGGGTGGACACAGATGATTGGCCACAGCCTCCTCGAGGGGCGGAGTCCCCTCATAGCCTCTTTCTTTCGCGCCGTCCACAGAGGAGAGCGACAAAGAAAAAGAAGGCTTCAGGCGAGCGGAGTGCGGGGCTTTCCACGACTTCGTGAGTTCGTCGTGAACTTCCGGGAAGAAGGGGGAGGGTCTTTGTCGAGGGGCCTGTCGGCGCCCCTGCAGGAACCACTCGTCCAGTCGGCTGCGGGCGGGTTCTTCCGGGGAAGACCAATCGAGCCCGAGGTCTTCCACGGCCTTAGAGAGAATGCGGACGATCTCTGAGTCCATGCTGGTGCCCGCGCTCGTGCCTGCTAATGTCGATGGCGCGGGGTCGAAGGACGAGCCCGGCCAGTCGTCGGATGCAGCATCACAGGAAAAACTGTCATCCTTATCATCGTCATCCCCTGACGCGCCAAACGAGACGAGCCCATCGCTCCGCTGGAGGGGTGCTGGTCCGCCTGTGTGAACTGGACTGGCGGCGGGGAGTCTTCGGGTGGTGGTGAAGCACGCGGGGATTGGCCCGGCGTGACATCACTGCAAACCGCGTGCTCCGGCGGCCTCTGTGAGCGGCGTTTTTTCTTTCGCGGCTCGACCAGAGGAGATGGCAGCACGGAAGAGGTGGGCTCTTTCGCGGTGAAAATGGCGAAGCGAGCGCGCAGCTCGGTGAGGCCCAGGGCGTCACACTCGGGACATCCGCCTCGAGTAAGGGCAGCCTCTGCGTGGTCCGGTCCCAGGCAGCGGGCGCAAATGATGTGACGATCCCCGTCCTGAAGAGGGCCTCGACACGAGGCGCAGGAAGGCATTTGAAACAACGCCTTGTAAAATTTGCTCTTTTAGAAAGTGTCGCGGGGGCGAACACTGAAAGCTTTGTAAAGGATATTCAGATGATGCGCGCCGGATGGCTTAGCAGAAGGGCGATCGAAGGCGGCTGAAGGCGCCGGCGTCCTCGAAGCAGTCCTGCTGTAGGCTTGTCGACGGCGGCGGCGAAAAGACTCCAACAAATCCGGAGGATCCAGCGAAGAGAAGGTTCTTTGCTGAAGGAGATTAAATCTAAAGAACTCAGACGACGGGGCGCCCAATATATAGCCCTTGGCCACGCCCATCTTGGCGGGCTCTGACGCGCGTGGGCGCGAAGCACGCTCATTGGAAGCGGGTTCAGAGTCGCCCCGTCATTGGTTCGTGCAAGTTGCCGCAGCACAGCCAATGACCGAGCTGCCTCGCTCATTGCTGTATGCTGTGCAGCTGCAATGCGTTTTACATAAAGACTTCAATATTTCTCGAGAAAAGGAGTTTTCCCATAGCGTAAGCTTACGCAATAGGAGGAACCTCTCGAAAGGGAAACCTTGTTTTTTCAGGTTGGTTGAATTCAGTTATAATCAGTAATCTTAAATCATTTATTTAATTTCAACAAAACCAGTTTTTCAGGTTGGTTGACCTCAGTTATATTCAGTAATATTAAATCATTTATTTCATTTTAATAAAACCAGTAATTGTAGATGTTACCACATGAAATTGAGCGTCAGCGTCAGTTCTGGCAGGCCAAGTGTAAAAACTAAAGGTGCCTCAAATATGCTGTCGGATACTCAAGGAACTTAAAAATGTAATTTAAGTGCCTCAAAGCTCTTTCTCCTATAGTAGGGTTACTGGTGGAGCACTGACAATCTTTGCGGTTCTTGCTGGAACTTATGGGATCCTTTAAGCACTTTGTATTCAGTTCAGAGGTTCTGGAGTCACCTTTTCATTACCACGAGACCTCGAAGTGCTTTGGGGGAAATTAGAGGAACTTGAATGCTATAAAAGGGTTATTGTACGATCTTTTAACATTTAAGTGGTTCCTGGAAGATCTCTTATGTTAAAGCCAGCATCTGGAGGAACCCAATGGTTCTTGTGAGGCCAGAATACGATTATTATTATCATATTATTGTTATAGGCTACTTAAGTTTAAAAAAAATGTTATAAATATATTTCATAAATTATACTTCTAATTCAGTATACTTACATTTATTTAGTATAGGCAGTAGCGGAGATAGCGTGGGTGCTTGGGTGCGGCCGCCCCAGAGCCCGTGCCAATTAGGGGCCCCTCAAACGCCGCCGATCTTGCGTCACTGGACAGGAATGGGGCCCTCGCCAGCAGTGATGCCGGTAACTTTTTTCAGTAACGAGTAATAACGAGTTACTATTTCCAAACCAGTAATCAGATTAAAATTACTGATTACTGAACTGCGTTACTATTTTTTGTCATTTTCTTTAGTAGAAATGATGGCTGATATGCGATATGAAACCAAAATGTGAGTGAGAAGGCAGAATCGCGACACACTCCAACTCCCAGCGTTATCCTTCCCGTCCAGATCCAATGGTACCACATCTTTAAATTACTATTAGTAGGCTATTGTTTGAAGTTAACATTATAAAATACGTAGACCTACCACAGTTGAGGATAATTTCTTTAAAATTGGGCAATTCCAGCGTTATGGACGTGACATTTGGTAAAAAACTTGAAATGTAAATTCTCAGAAAATGCATTTAATACCAATATATTGAAACGTCTGTTTATCCTCCTTAATAAAGGAGTCCATACTCCAGACATTAGAAAAATATCAGTCTACACATGCGTTTTATATTTAATATGAGGGAAATACACGGACGTGACACAAAAAAACTTTAACTTTTAGGTGGCAAAAGTACAAAAAGTAATACCCACCGGATGAAGAAGGGCTGGCTCTCCACAGAACAAAATATTCATTTTGTCTTATTTTTCGTGTTCGCATTTATGAGGGAAAAACAATGTTACGAGACAGTTCCCCGTTACGGACGTAAGCGCTCTGAAAGCGGCACTGAAAGACTGCTTTTAAAATTTTCCCAGAGACATCAAACATAAAGTACAAAGCCATTCATTAAGGCGACTTTCGTTTTGTATTAATTGTATCTTAATTTTAATCAATGTTTCATCAACCATTTGCCTGGATTTAATAAATAAGAAGTAAATATAGCAGACAATAGATAATCGTGCCGGCGCGTGAACTGGAGCTCGTCTTGTGAGTCATAAATGAACCGAAACACAGAGTAGGCCTACTTGCCTTACACACCTGAGAAATATATCTATAGAAAGCTCGAAATGTGTACTTTTACAGAACAATTCAAAACGAAAGAAAACAGACTGTTCTCTGAAAAGAACGAGATAGCCTTTGTGTTTTATTTAACATATAAGCTTACTTGGCTCAACAAGTGACACATTATTACATATGCATTCATCAGATATTTTACGTTTTTTTTTTACGGTTTTAATTTTAAAATGACTTGGTAGCAGAGGGCCCCATGATGAAGCTCCGCTCCCACTGTACTGAGAGTCTAGCTCCGCCCCTGAGTATAGGCCTATTTTATTGATTAATTTAAAACTTAAACAACTACCATAAATAGTAAGTAGCCTAATAATAATGATAATATGAAGAAGAAGAAGAAGAAGAAGCAGGAGGAGAAGAAGAAAAAGAAGAAGCAGGAGGAGAAGCAGCAGGAGGAGAACATTTTTATCTGTCACAAAACTGCTGCTATTCCTCTGCTGTCATCGCTTCAGTGAATCTCGCGCTGCTCGCGCGCAACACAGATCAGCTGATCATCATGGGGTTTGAAAGTAACGGCTCCCCTCACCAAAGCTTCAGCTGTTTGTTCGGCTCTCCGTTACAAGGTTTGTAAACTCGCCAAAGAAATATAAATACAGAGTCTACTCACTATATGTTGTGAATTTGGTCCTTTTCTTTAATTTTACCTTTTTTTTTTCTTTTTTTTCATATATATATATATTTGTACTACATATCCCACAATTCCAAGTATACTACACTACATTACCCATATACCTCCTGGTCGAGGTCTATAAGTAGACCTCACTTCCTTCCTTTGTTTCTTTTGTATTGGTGAGGTGTGGGTGTTTGAATGGACACCCAACCATGTCCTTTCCTTAGGATGCGTTAAGTAAGTTTGTTTTGCCAATTGTATTGTTTGAATTTGTTTATTTGAATTGTTTAGATTGAGTATATGTTGTTGATATGTTTATTGATGAATTATATGAGTTTGATTTCCTTTATTATATTGTTTGTAGTGACTAAAGACCATCTTGTACATCCGGTTCATCCTGTCCATCCATTAACATCTGTCCATTGGCATCATGTGTATCAGTTCCATGTGAATTATGGAACTTCATGTCATATGAATTACCTAAGACTTAAGCATCCTGAACTTAAAATAAAGGAGAGCAAAGGACTGGTATTTGTCCATATGTTTTAATCAGACACGCCATCAAGTTTCTGCAACTCCAACGAACTTTGAATACATTTAACATCTGAGATTCAACAAATGGTCCTTCGAGCCGGAGGTAGAAATTTGGTGGAATGGATTACCATGCAAGACCTGCAATCCGGCGCAGCCAAAGAAGGAGAAGACCTCCTGCCCGTTTTGTTGACTGTATGGTGAGAGAATATGCTCCTCCTCCGCCTCCCTCACCAACACTAGTTGTAAGTGATCATCACCAAACCCAGTATGAAAATCCATCTTTAAGACATGCCCCAAGCTCATCTGCCCATTGTGAACAGTCTCAACATGATTTGCTCGATATGGATGTTAACCCTCTGGGGTCTGAGGTGTTTTCGGGGTCCTTGAGATGTTTTCGCATGCTCTGACATTTCTGCTTTTTTCAGTTGTTTATAAACATATTAATGGCACAGGTGAAATTACACTCTATATAGCACACACAGGGCTCCCATAATATGTGAGCAACATGTATGTACATGTTTGTATTTTTGAGAGAATATTGTTTATGCATGGTTATTGAAAAAACTAAAAAATAAAGTTTCTAATATAAGGCCACAAATAACATACTACATATCTGTCCACAAGACTTTTGACTAGTGGATGTTGTCGCCTAGAGTTTTTGCTTCAAATTGATCTGAAAATCATCCTGCCTAATCATTCACATAAAACAATAGATTGTTTTAAATTGTGAAAAACATTTTTTTGTTTGCAAAGGCAATATGCGGATGGGCGGAACGGCCCAACCCCCTCATGAATAATTAGGCAGTTCTCACCTGAGCAGACTGCATACTAATGAGCCTTTCATTCAGGGGTGTCACACAAGAAAGAATGCAAGGACAATATATATATATAAATAAATAAATATTTATATATACACACACACACACACACACACATATATATATATATACAAACAATCAAAATATAAATGAAAGCCAAAAGCACATTTTTAGTCACACCTTTTAGCCATCCACATACCATTTTTAGCCATCCACCGCAGTAAAAATAAACCAGTCGCATTTCAAAGTCGTTCGTGAAATGACCGCCAGGTGGCACAAAGGGACATTTGGCAAAACGTAAGTGGGGCTAATGTCTATTAACAGTAGCCTAAGGATGAAATACTACAAGTTATGGTAATTTCCAAATAAGCCTACAACAAACATTTATAGCCTACTCCGTAATTGTTGGTCATACAGATAAGATATAATCTTTTAAAACTGTAAAAGGCTAAAGTAGGCCTACACTCACAGGCTAAAGACAAAACGTTTTCTCGCTCATGTGAGAAACAAACGTTTGGGTATTTCTCAGTGAGAAAATTCACAGCCGAGCGGTAGAACTTACGGTTCATCATCAAGATGACATGGGTTCAAATCCCGCACAAACATCTGCTGTAAATTTCATATTTATTAATGCAGAGAGATTTGTCTAGCTCTAAAACTCTGTTACACCATACAGTTTTTTTTTGCTTATATTTATAAAATACAATTATCATGCATTTCCATTTTACACTAAGGAACGAAATAGTATCCAACCGAACGACTTTGCATCTGTATAATAATAGGCTACCAATCGTAATTTCAAAAGCAGTTCTGTAAAAAAATAAATTATATATAGCCTATATATATATATATATTAGGGTGCATCAAAAAACACAATTCTTGAATTTTGATATGGCTGGGTGCTAAAAGTGTTCCAATATATGTAGAAACAACAAATGCAAAATATTTTTCCAGTACATGATGATTTAGGGGTGCCACCGTACATCTGTTTTTGTTGGATAAAGTGGTTAACAGTGCTCAATGGTCGCCATTGAGATCTGAGGTAAACAATACTACAGCTCAAGAAATCTGAGGTGATCTTTCTGTTTGAGGTGATCTTTCTGTGTTTGGTATGTATTATTACATATTACTATCATATCTGGAATTGTATCTTTGTATACTTATTTATCATAAGTCATTTAAGTCATATTTATAGGTATTTGGTGCTCATTACATCTAGCTAACGTTAGCTAGCAACAGTTTGCTAACCACAGTTAGCTATCTATGTTAGCTAAGCTATTAAGCTTAACATCAACAGTATTCTAGAGTGGACAATGTCATATTCACAGTATAGATGACTCATGTTTATTGAGAGTAGCATTGTAGTTGGTGGTAGACTTAGTCAATGCTAACAACAAGCTGCGGAAAATCGCCCAGACCAATCGCTCCAGTGAGACTACAGCGAAACAATTGGAGAAAATGGAGTGCAGACTTGATGCCACATTTCCGCTGTGGCCTCCAAATGTTGAAAAGCTGATTGATAACCCAGAAGACCAAGCTTTCTTGGCCAGCATGAAGAATGAGAGAGTGGCCACATTTGGGGCCGGTTTCACAAAGCTATTTTAGACCGGTCTATAGTGTTAGACAAGTCTAAAATTTGCTCATAGACTAGTCTAATGCAAGTTAGACTGTTTCACAAAAATAAAGACTGACTTAATTTAGACCAAAAAAATTAGACGCCTTCCCCCCCAGGCTAACTTAGGTCTAAGACTCTGTTACCTTGGCAACCAACAGTAACAATCAGTTACATTACAAACAGCCAAAAGCAAAGGGAAAATGGCCCTTTCCAAATTAAACATTTCTTCTTGTTACTACATTCTCCGCTAAATTTCCCAAGTAAAATGTCCTTGTAACTGTTATACTCCTCCAACAAACATATTTTCCGCTGGGGTAAACTGCACTGAGCGGATGAATGCGCTTACTCGATCCGCCATGTTTTTTGTTTTGAAAAGTGTCTTATTTTACCCAGAATGCATTGCAGTGTAGTCCTACTTAAGATAGTCAGAGTCTCAAGCGCTTTGTGCAACGGCCTGATTTAGATGTCTATGTGAAGTCTGACTATCTACTATATCTAAGCCATAGTCAAAGTCTATCTTTGTGAAACCGGCCCTTGGTGTATTGGACAAAAAGCTGCAGCTCAAGAGGCGAGAGGAGCGTCAAGCTGCCGCAGCAGCCAGGCAGTCCCGCTGTGAAAAGGAGCTGGAGGAGATGACGGCAATGTCCAGCTTGGAGTCGGAGAGTGATGAGGAGACAGAGGAGGATACTAACACAGTCTATCCACCATCTGAGGGCGAACCATCCCACAAGCATAAGACTGGACAAACGTCTTCATTCCACATGACATCCTTAGCCAACACAATTTTCACAAATTTCACAAAATTTCACAAAGCGTGTTGAGATTATTTTGAATGAAATATTGAAGTTTATAATTAAGTGTTTTGGCACACCACGCCGACTGGCCCTATGCATTTTTCTAAAGTCGGGTTGTATTCTGGCATGGTGAGTTAGTGTTCGACAAACGCGGCGGCGCGTTCATTTAGATTAATTTATTTTTCTCATCAAGGATCCAAAGATCCCTGTAGACTTTAATATTGAGTTGAACATTTTGTTCAGGACAACAAATTAACATGCGTTTTTTCAGATTATATTTAGTTTTGCTTGGAAAAAGCTGGCCCAAACCAGTTTTATTTCATCAATTATTGAAATAATGAAATATTTAGTAATAAACTTTTATGACAGAAATATCACTAGGCTACATGTAACTTAAATCATTTAATTCCTTCATTATCAACACTGTCTAGAATAGCGATTTAAGTGTGAATTGCGACTTCTCTTTGTGTTAAGTCAGCCTCAGACTCCGATAGCCTGTGGGGGGGTTGGAGGGACAGTTGCTGGACAAAGGCGTTAATGTTCCTCTTTCATATGGAGAGTGTCGGATAGCCAGCCTGACGAGCAGGCAAAATTATTGTAAGGATAAATCTGTGTCCAAATGTAGGCCGCATATCTTATTAAATTATAAATATTGTAGTTTATTTATTGTAGCCTATTTAAAGTTTTTTTCACACAAAATTTCAATTGAAGTTATTGTAAGGTTAATTCAACAAGGTATGCTGTGTCTTTGAAGCAACAATTAAAGGCTAAATAATGTTTTTGTGATTTGTATGGCTGACACGCAGCGACATATACAGTATTATCAGCTGTATGATGTGTTTTTACCCTGAAATGTTTAATTTCGAGAGAGACCCGGCGCGCGCAGCGAGGGAGACTAAATAAACTTGTTAAAAAGAGATCCAGCGCGAGAGAGGCAAAGAAAAACGCATGTTTTTAATTTAATTATGTTTCTTTGGACAATTTTCGTTTTGTACTGTTTTAATTGTTTAATTTAGCTGTAATTTCTTTGGCAATAAAAATTTAAAATGTCGCAAGAATAAGATTAGCCTAGTGTTTCTTATTTTGCATCGCAAAATAAATAAACTCTAAACCCGATGCAACCCTGTTTTAAATTTAAAAAAACTGTCCCGACACTTTATTTAAACCTTGAAATGTTCGAACTTGGTTTCAAACTTAAGTCATTTTAGTGTTCTTTTACATTACACAATAATTTAGCAGACTAAAGACGAGCTTCTTCATTTTCATTTTCTGATGCAATCGGCTGACAATCTTCCTTCATCAGTTTTTGTCGTTTGTGCAGCGGCTGCGGTTCTACAGGAATGTTGCAAATTTATGTTGTAATGATAATTAAACAAAACTCTTGACTTTAAATAAGTAAACAGTTACCTATTTAAGCATCAAGGTGGTAAAATATAAACGCTGTAGGCCAACATCGGTTAACAACATGTATGCTACATTGAGATTCGATCTCGGGTCGATTGAAGTTCATCGAAGCTCGTGTTGTTGCGTTGATCACTGAGCTACCGTCTGTACGCTGTTAAAGTTAATGTCTTATGCTCTTGTAAAGCCTCATTGATGTAGCCTAAATGTTTTTATTGCAATGTTTTATGTTGAAATGTTTTCATTATTTATTCAATTTCATTTCAGTAGCCTAATTTCAGTATTGTGATTATTAATTATTTTAACTACGTTTCACTTGTTGAATTCATCTGCTACCAGCTTTCAATCGCTCTGAATCAGCCGCGGCGCGGCAGCAGATTACGCATTAGAGAGAATAAACGAACACTTTTCAGAGTCTATGATTGTAGCGCCTCTTACCGGTAAAAGGCAGCAAATACACCACACATTTTACCGCCGCGGTGGAACGGCTGATGTGGGCATTGTCATGGCTTGCCTCAACATTTGCGCTTGAATAGCGCGCGTCAGTAGTAAATAGCCTATACCTCCTGTCAATTTGATTGATTGACAGGTGGGCGTGTCTATCCTTTGATCTTCCCCCGCCCCTTCCGGTTCCTCCCCTTCCTGTCCCGCCCCTTGTCCCGCCCCTTCCGGTTCCTCCCCTTCCGGTTACCTTTGACCTAGTTCCGCCCCTTCCTGTTAAACTTT